AAAAAAAAAAAAAAAAAAAAGAAATTGCTGCATGAGAAAAGACTTGGAGGAGGTGAGGGGTGAAATGAGAAGATGTCTGTGGGAAGAGTTACACAGGCAGGGAGAGGATGGCAAGTCCAGGAGTGTCAGGGCCATCATGTGCTCTCTGCCTTTCTAGCCATGAGGACACTGTCAGGGCTGGAGTGGAGTCACAAAGGGAGAGCTGGAGGAGATGGAGGTCAGAGACGCCAGTGAGCTAGTGGAAGGGCAAAGAGCTCTGCAGGTTCCCATGGAGTGAGATGAGAAGCCCTGGAAGAGTTTTAATAAGGGACAGTTCTGATCAGATTACCTTAAAAGGGACCTCTTTGGCTATTCCGTGGAGAATAGTCCTGGGGATGTGGGGTGACATCTCCAGACTAGTTTAATTATCCATATTAGAAATGGTGGTGACTGAGACCAGGGTTATTGTGGTATTGGTGGTGATGGTGAGTGATTAGAATCTTCTAGTTTGAAGCCAAAGCCAAGAGTAAGTATGGAGAGGGGCTGTGGAGGGAGTGAGAAGTTGCCAAGGATGCCTCAGCAGTTCTGGCTCAAGGACCTGGGTGGACAGACTTCCACTAATTTTGATAGGATTGTGGGAGCAGCATGGTTGGGGTGGGAGATGGATACTGAGATCAGGTTAAGTTTGAAATTCTGTTAGACATGTGGAGATATCACAGTGAATAGATGGAAGGAGGAGGAGAGATCTTGAGATCAGGAGGAACCACTGGTGATCTTGACAGATGCAGTCTTTTACTTTCTAAAAATATGGGTCTTGCTCTGTTGCGCAGGTTGGCTTTGAATTTCTAGGTTCAAGTGATCCTCTTGTGTCAGCCTTCCAAGTAGCTGGGCCTGTGGCATGTGTCATCTACCTATGGATCCAGGTTTAATGATGAGGTGGGTTGAAACTGGTTGAAAACTAGATGGAGAGGAAGTAGAGACAAAGAGTGTGCTTAGTCTTTCAAGGACTTTTGCGGAAGAGACTTCAGAGGAATAGCAAAGCAGTTGGAAGGTTGTAGGTTAAAGGAAGAGCTAAAAAACACTTTGTGTCAGTTTACAGGAAAGTTGCAAAAACAGTACACGTTGTGCATGCAATCCTTCTTCCATTATCCCTAAATGCTAACATTTGACATTCTGTTACATGATCACAGTAAAATTATCAAAAACAAACAATTGATCCTATAGTATTTTGTTATATATATATATATATATATATATTTTGTTATATATATATATTTTGTTATATATATGGACACAATATCTTTATTTTTATGTGGTGCTGTGGATCGAACCCAGGGCCTCATGCATGGTAGGCGAGTGCTCCGCCTCTGAGCCACAACTACAGCCCCAGTATTTTGTTTTTTAAAGAAATTTTTTTTTGCTCATATACTCACAGGTACCTACACAAAGCAGGAAGCACTATTGTATATCTTTACTTATGTATTTGTGGTGCTAGGTATTGAGCCCAGGCTGCATGCATATCAGGCAGACACCCTACCACTAAGCCACACCCCTAGCTCCATAGTATTTTTCATCGATTAATATTATTCAGACTTTGACAGTTGTCTGAATAAATGTCCTTTTTTGATTCTGAATTTGATCCAGGATTACATGCCACATTTATGTGTGATTCTTATTGGTCTCTTAGTCTAGGACAGATCCTTAGTCTTTGTCTTTCATGACCTTCATGTTTTTGTGGGGTATAAGCTGGTTATTTTGTAGAATTGCTCTCCTTGCATGTCTACCATGGTTAGAATCAGGTTATTACAATTTTTTTTTTCAGCACTGGGACTCAATCTCAGGGGCTTATATGTACTAGGCATGCACATTACCGCTGAACTACATCTCTAGCCACCAGGTTATATATTGTTGATGGAATACTTTGGAAGTCATCCCCTTCAGTGTGTCGATATCTGGAGACAAGAGTGTTGATTTTGTTCCCATAGTGATAACTTTGATTTGTTTGCTTAAGGTGGTGATTTCCAGGCTTCTCCAGGGGAAAAGTGACCATTTTCTTTTCCTTTGCAACAAGAACCTCATGGGTAGATATTTTGAGACAATGCAAATATCCTGTTTCTTACAGTACTTTCTCTAATTTTAGCATCCGTTGATTCTTGTCTGAAAGTGTTATCAGTGTAGTGGCTGTCACATGGTGACTTCCTAATTCTGTATTTCTTCTACATTTATTAGTTGGAATTTTACTCTAAGAGCTTTACGTACTACCCTAACCCATTTGTTTTATTTGTTTATGTTGATATGGCTTATGAATCCTCATTTTATAGATTATTGTTACTTTTGTTTTAGTTGTACACAATACCTTTATTTTGTTTATTTTTATGTGGTGCTGAGGATCGAACCCTGGGCCTCACGTGTGCTAGGCAAGCACTCTGCCGCTGAGCCACAACCCCGGCCCCATTTTATAGATTATAATTTTACTATCGTTTCACTGCTCAGGTATCAGTGTTTGGGTTTTAAGGTAAGAGATGTTTGAACTTGGTGGTGGTATGCTGAAGGCAGTGATTCTGCAGAGAATGGAAGGATGGTTGTGTTGATCTAATGCCCACAGGGGTAGATGTAATCTTTGCTTAGGCTGAGCAGCTTTGTACTTAACTTTCTACAGACTTTAGCTACCTTACTACAATAAATCTGAGATATTTAACTGTTTTTTGAGGATAAGATTTAAGATAACAGATTACTTCATGTGTGACATATTAAGTCTTAAATTTGATACATTGCTCTGCAGAAAACACAATAATTTGCATATATGTATGTGACTTAAATAATGTTATAAAGATTATCTTTTCCATAATATTTTACTTTATTTTAGCTCCTGATCATTTTCCCCATTCTGTTGCATTTCCACATACTATCAATGTAATAACTGTAAAATTGGTAAAGCATTGTCACACATTCTTCAGTGTCCCTGTTTATTCTTGGGTCTCTTGGTGAATGAAACAAATGGAATTGCAAGCTGTTTTCTTGAGTCACACTGTGTACAAAAACTCCATAGGAATTAAGTCAAACTAGTTTTTTTTTTTTTAATATTTATTTTTTAGTTTTTGGCGGACACAACATCTTTGTTTGTATGTGGTGCTGAGGATGGAACCCGGGCGGCACGCATGCCAGGCGAGCGCGCTACCGCTTGAGCCACATCCCCAGCCCTCAAACTAGTTTTTTTCTAGAGTAAAGGGTAGGAAAACTTTAAAAATACATAGTACATAAAGATAATATTTAAACCATAAAAATCATTAAAATTGCCTTTTCTCTTTCTTTGGATAAAACCACTGTGCAGTTTCTTGTGTTCTTTTGGGGAAGATTTATATGTATATATGAGCATCTTTGAATGTATAATTTTCAGAAAAAATTCTACTGAGTTTTCTGTACCTTACTGTGTCAAAGTTTTAAAAACTCATTTTAAAGGCACTATGGAAGGTGAGAGAGGGAAAATTGTGGTAATATAGGATGCTCAGTATGAAAATAGTGCATCTTAATTTAGGAGTAAAGTGTATTTACCCATATATAATCCAATAATACAGTATAACTGGTTTAAAGGTCTTGTCTTAACAGGATGGTATAGTATCTTAGGTTTCATTATTAGTGTTACAGATGATTCTGATTTTTAGAAAACTTAATTCTAGAAAAATTTTCAAGTAAAATTTTTAAAAAATATTTTGTTCTTTTTATTCTCTCTCTCTTCTCTCTCTCTCTCTCTCTCTCTCTCTCTCTCTCTCTCTCATACTAAATATTGAATCTAGTGGCATTAGCTGACATTGGCCTTGAACTTGTGATTCTCCTGCCATAGCCACCACCATTCCCAGCAAATACTTTATTTTGAAAATGAAATTGTACTATGATGTATTTTTTTAAAAAATATTTATTTTTCATTTGTAGTTGGACACAATATCTTCATTTATTTACTTTTATGTGGTGCTGAGGATTGAACCCTAGTGAGCACTCTACCGCTGAGCCACAATCCCAGCCCCTGAATTTTAAATTAATTAATAAAATACTGTGTTATAATTCTAGGTGGAAGTCACATCAGTCTGAGTTTGAATTTACAGACTTGTTTAAACTCTTAAAATATATAATTAAGGGCTGGGGATATAGCTCAGTTGGTAGTGCTTGCCTCCCATGCACAAGGCCCTGGGTTCAATCCCCAGCACCACAAAAGGAAAAAAAAAGAAAAAAACCCCAAAATCCTCCAAACATAATTAAATATAATTAAATACCTCATAGTAAAATTATAGGTATTAATTTAATGGTGCATAATATATCTAAGATTAGTTGTCATTAAAAACACTTTTTTTTTAGTTGTAGATGTGATTTTATTTATTTATTTATTTATTTATTTTGCTGAGAATTGAACCCAGTGCCTCACATGTACTTGGCAAATATTCTACCACTGAGCTACAACCCCAGCCCCTAGTTGTATTTTTTAAAAATATTATTTTTTTAGCTGTAGATGGACACAATATCTTTATTTACTTTTATGTATTGCTGAGAATTGAACCCAGTGCCTCACATGTGTGAGGCAAGCAGTCTACCACTGAACTACAGCCCCAGCCCAGTTCTGTGTTTTAACTTTGAACGTTAAGTTTATCTAAAAATATTGCTAATATGCTGTTGGAGTATGTAGATCTTTTCGATGCATTTTACTTTTAATTATGTTAGATTTGTCTATCAGTATTAATATAAACTCATTCCAAGATGGGTTATGTTACTTACACTAATTAATGTATAAATAACATAGTGTAAGTAATTTTAGCATGTTAGAATTTCATTAAACTGCTTGTAAATGATTGAATAAACATAAAATTCTAGTTGCTGGTTTTATTGCAAATTTTCATTTGGTTTACAGACTGCCACTGTAAACCTGTGAATTTGTCAAAGGACTAGATGAGATTTTGGTAAAACAACTTCAAAATACCTAAAGCAAATACCTGGACTTTTCTTTTTGATACTGGGGATTGAACCCAGGGGTGCTTAACTGAGCCACATCCTCAACTTTTTTTATTTTTTATTTTGAATCAGGATCTCACCAAGTTGTAATCCTCCTGCCTCAAGCCTCTGCAGTGGCTCGGATTACAGGCATGCGCCATAGCAGTCACTACTGAAGTTTTCAATTAAATTTGAAGCACCACAATTTAAGATGTGGACATGAGTCTTAGCAAAGTCTGAGTGTGTTTATGTATTATGTCTTGTTATACTAAAAATAAAAAAAAGAAAAAGTTATTCTGTGTTTCAGACTTTTAACAAAATTAATTTATTTTATTTTTATTTTTTTGGTACTGAGGATTGAATCTTGGGGTGCTTAACCGCTGAGCCACATGCCCAGCCCTTTTTTGTACTTTATTTAGAGACACAGACTCGCTGAATTGCTTAGGGCTTCACTAAGTTGCGGAGGCTGGCTTTGAACTCGAAATCCTCCTGCCTCAGCCTCCTGAGCCACTGGGATTACAGGTGTGCGCCACAGGGCCTGGCTAGATTTATGACATTAATTCATAGCCACCTGATAATAAATTTACTTTAAGGGATTGCATTTTAAAGTTACTTATATTTGCAGTTCAGCTTTTTTTTTTTTTTGTCCTAGGGATTGAGCCTAGGAGCTCTTGACCACTGAGCCACATCTTCAACCTTTAAACCTTTTCAAATTTAGATTTTTGAGACAGGGTCTCACTAAGATGTAAAGGCTGGTTTCAAACTTGTCATCCTTCTGCTTCAGTCTCAGCCTCTGAGTCACTGGGATTACAGGTGCACCACCATGTCCAGCTTTATTTTCTTTCAATTTATATATTAAATCCTGTTAAGGGCAACTGCTATGTCTGGATGCTAAAGAGAGAGAAGCCTTGACTGGTAATTTTAAAAGAGAAAAATTAACATTGTAAAAAAAGCAGATTTATATGAACTATATGAACATTAACATATTTGTATCCATTGCCATAGCAGGCAGTAACTTTTTGTCTATTTTGTAATAGGATTATTTATTTATTTATTTATTTTGTTAGTAGGATTGAATCCAGGGGGTACTTGACCACTATTCTACATTCTCAGCCCTCTTTATTATTTAATTTTGAGACATGTTCTTGTTAAATGCCCAGACTGGCCTCAAACTCAGATCTTCCTTAGTTGTTGGGTTTATAGATATGTGCCATGCCTGGCTCTGGCAGTAACTTTAAGTACATAGCTTGACTGAGGTTTTCAAACTGTCTTGATTAGATAACTAGCAATTTCTAGAAGAGGTGGAAGCACTTAAGGCTCTTCAAGACTCTTTTTAAATAGAATTTTAAGATGTATGACTTGCTGTATATAAAAGTAAATCGATCTGACTGTTTTGATGCTATTCAGTCTTATAACTTATAATTCTGACTTTGCATGCTCTTAAAAAGACATACCAAGAAGTAATTTTTCTGTTTTTTTTTCCGATTGTGCAATTGTGCGTGTGTATGTCGGGGGGGCAGTCTGGATATTAAATTTAGGGTATGCCTTGTGCACATTAGGCAAAGTGTTTTACCTCTGAACTATATCCCTAGCCCCTGCAATTAATTTTTTGGTTTTCTACTTTATATATTTAAACCTTTCCAAGACCCCAAATATCTAAAATTCTAAATATAGGGCTAAATAACAAGTAATGTCCACAGATAAAATCTGTGAATAAGGGATTTTGTTTCTCAAATTCTTATATAATGTACTTTTAAATTTAAGATGTGTTCACATTGTAGTTATCAGTAAACTAAATTTAAGTGTATATGTATAATACAGGGCTTCTTAGGGGAAAAAAATGTTAACATTTTGACTTAGGCCCCTCTCCAGTTCTAGTAAAGCTTGTGTAAAAATAAAAATGATGTAGGTGGACAGATGGCTGGTGGTTAGGGGTGTGTTGGAGTCCTGGTGTGCTGCCCCCCGATGGACAGTCTGTTCTGAAAGCTTACATTTTGTGCTTGTTTCTACAAGTCTCTCTTTAGGCAATTAAAGTGCTTGGCTATTTAACAACTTCTTGAAGTGTATGCATTTCCAAAACACTATTTCAACACTTTTACAAGGTGTTAAAGTCTAAAGCCCAGCCCACTAAAAGTTTAATGCCCTGTACAGATTGTTAATGACAGATTTAGTATATGATCCTTTTTCTAATTGTAAAGCTTTCAAAAGGGGTAGAACATTTGGCCTGGAGGAAAGGGCCATTTTAAATTCTTGGTGTCTATTATAGAAAAAGCCTGAGGGCAGGTAGATGTGCTGTGGATACTCTTTAGGGTAAGACGGTGCAGAGAAGTCATTTATTTATACCTTTGGTTGTTTGTGCCTGCTCCATCCCCATTTCTGGGATTTTATTAAACACTTTGGCCAATTACACCAGTATTCTGGAGGAGAGCAAGAGTTTCTTCGAAGGAATTGTATTCTCTATGGGCTTGGGGATATATTGAAGTCATAGGTAGTGTGCTTTTGCATTTAATCATATTAATTTTTAAAAAGTTTTTTTAAGAGTGTGGGGGGGAGAGAGAATTTTTTTAATATTTATTTTTTAGTTATTGGCAGACACAACATCTTTGTACATGGTGCTGAGGATCGAACCCGGGTCGCACGCATTCGAGGCAAGCGCGCTACCGCTTGAGCCACATCCTCAGCCCTTAATCATATTAATTATAGCATATAGCGTATCATGTCCCCGATTGTTGTGATAGACATAGTTTAACCTGTCACTTTTAAAATGTAACACTATTTAGCTTCTTTGTTTCTTTCTTCTTGTGGTCCTGGTGTTGAAACCCAGAGCTATATGCTTGCTTAGGCAGATATGTAACATTTTGTTTAAGTGTTTAACATTTTGTTAAATGTGTGTGACATAGTTACTGATATTTTAAGGGAAAATATGTGCAACAACTAGGTCAAAAAAACTTTTAATTAAAAGATGAATATCTAACTGTAGTTTTAAGGTGGTTATTTTATCAAGGTAACAGCAATAACAACAATGTGGAGCCTTCAAAATGACTTCCCAGTCAAGTGATGTTCTTTTCTCTTTTTAGCTGCTACTGGTGATTGAACCCAGGGCTTGGCACATGCCAGGCAAGTGCTCTAGCGCTAAGCTACATTCTAGCCCACAGGGAAATTCTTGAAACATGGTTGTATGTATTGGATCTTTTATTGTCAGTGGAGATATTTGTCTTAATCATTATTTCATGATAGATGGGTGAGGCTGGAAGTTTGTTTTCCTTGAAATGACCCACTCTGTGCTGATGTGATCTCCTTGGGCCCCCTCTTTAAAATGTGGGGATACATTAGATAATTTCTAGTTTTCTCCTGGAGATAGGGATTTACACTGTTAGGATTATATTGTACAGTTTGCATGAAGATCTGTGTGTGTAGTCTTTTCTTACATAGAAGCCAAGTAGTTGACATCTAAAAGAAAAGAAAGGTAAAAATAAATACCATAGACATTGGAGTTTGAATTTGGCTTTTATTTATTGCTTTTTGATTAAAATAATCCCTTGAGTCTGGTGTGCTTTACTACCAGTGATGTAAACTTATCTTACTTTTCTTTCAAAAGCTATATGTCCAGCCTTTGTTTTTTGAGACAGGTCTCAATTTGAGTCTGGTCACAAATATGCTTTTCTGTCTCAGCCTTCTGAGTTGCTGGCATTGCAGGTATGCATCACCACACCTATTTCAAGGCTGTTTTAAATCTGTAAAGTGAGAATCTTAGAGTTGCCTCCCACCTTTGGTATGAGGGAACAATGAAATTGTATTTGAAGTGCCCGGCACAGCTTTTTTTTTGGTCGTCGATGGACATTTAACCAATTAATTAATATGTGGTACTGAGAATCAAACTCAGTACCTCACACATGCTAGGCAAGCACTCTACCACTGAGCCACATTCCCAGCCTACCTGTCAGTCTTTATCCATTAGAAGTCAATTGAATAAATGATAACTTATTACAAATATTTCACTTCCAGTTGAAATTTTTAAAAATTTATTGTTAAATTGTAGTTGTGGTTGAAATAATCTAGAAATGATTAATCTTCCTGGATGCTGCTGACCTTTGTCGTGCTTGTTAGAAGATGCAGCCTTTGGGGCTGTGATTTTTGGCTCAGCCTAGAGTGCTTGCCTAGCACGTGCGAGGTCCTGGGTTTGATCCTAAGCACCACTTAAATATAAATAAATAAAGGTATTGTATCCAACTACAATTAAAAGATAAATATTAAAAAAATGCAGCCTTTGATTTATAGCAACTCTGTGTCAAAATTGGTATAAATGCAAATTATGAAGAATTGTCATCCTAATGTAACCAATGAAAGAAAAGATTCTGTGAGTAAACATTACAGTAAATTTCATTAATACATACACATTAAGTTATGGAACAAGATTTTTGTGAATACTCTACATTTAAAGTTCTACTCTGGTTATTGCAGAAAAATGAATCTAAATGTATAGTCCTTCCTAGGCAAGGGAAGAAGATGGAATTTTGTCTAATGCAACAATCTGAAACATATCTAATTTTTCTGCTGTATAGGAAAGGTAATGTGGTTGAAGGTTGAAATTACTAACAGTATTATAAACTTAAAACATTTCTTTTTTCTTAAAGGGGGGGGAGAGAGAGAGAGAGAGAGAGAGAGAGAATATGAATGAATGAGA